GATATCCTTCGTGTTACGACCAACTCGGAATACGCCCAGAGTCACGGAACGGATTAAGTTCGTATCCCGAGGTACCACTGTACACTCAGTTTGTTTAACACAGCAAATTTAAAACATTTATTTAATTTAAGTGGTCTGCAGTCATACTACACAGCATGGAGAAGCCACTAGGTACTTTCATGGTAAAGCAGATTTTTCCTTGGTTGCACTACATGAAAGTTCTCACTATCTGATATTAGTGGCTTTTACTTACTTTCATAAAAGCTATCCTAGCAGGCAAAACTATGTTTTAATCCTAGAGCATAGCACAAGCTATTTTAATCAATCTTCAAAGGCTTTATAATTCAGCTATTTCTATCCTTGCTGTAATAGCGATTCTGTTCCCGATATAACACCACTGTGCTTTGATATTCCCAATAAAAAATTCACAGGAGACAGTAAATACGAACAAACATTCTTAATAACTTGTAATAGTTCCTTTCAAAAATCTGGAGTCAAAATTGCATGTATTCAGGTTTAGTAACAAAACTATATAGTAACAAAACTATATAGGTTTGTTACTAAACCTGAGTACATGCAATTTTGCTATTAAATTGATTACTGAGACTTTAAGAGTTTAACAAAATATGACCAGAAGACATATTGACACTTCTGAAATTCTGGGTACTGAAAAGTTAGTGTCAAGTTAGCATTCACAATATTAAAGAGGTGTGTCCATGGCTAAGTACATGGGCACAAAATGTTACAATTATCTCAATTAAAATGTACCAAATAATGACTATACAGGATTTATGAAACATTTAAAAAGTTTTTAAAGACTCAGTGAGATAAACATGGATATAAACTTCAAATAAGCCAGTATAATAGTAAGGAGAAAATAAACTTACTTTGTAAGATGCCGATATAGTACATCTTTACAAATTGGCTGTTCAGCCAAAGTCAACCAGAATTCACAAGCCTCCAAAGCCACATTTTCATCTTGGTCCTGAGTTCTTTGCAGCATGTACTACATATGATAAGAAAGTAAAAAGGAACAGAAATTGGGTCTCTTTGAAAATATGATGTAATTAAAACCCTTTAATATAACAGTCTACCATCATATCGGTAGTTTGGAAAAATGGATTTAATATTTGAATAAGTATAGGTGACAGATACTATCCACTATATTCTGGCTGCTTAAAGCACAACTCTTCTTTTGCCTTATGCAAACTTGTTCTAGCAGGATAACATTTTGACATTCAACCTCTGATTCAAAAATATTTAATCAAGGCTTTATTTTCAGAGTTCTGCCAATTTTTCTAGAATCTGGAATCATTTTTTTCCCTTAAATTCCCCCATTTTATTATTTAATAATCAAATACTGTATGTGCCCTGTTCTGATATTGGTAATTTAAAAATATTTATTGTATTACAAACTCATTTTCTTGACTGTCCCCTATTGTTATATTACTAATCTTGAAAAAGTGGAATGTTTTGTGCTGGTTCACATGTAGGTCTGTCAGTATTTGTTTCCTCAGTTTTTCACTTTTCAAACTCAAGTATCGTTTGTCCAATTTCCAAATCAGTATGCAGTTTTTAAAATCTGCAACAAAAATTGCATGCTTTTTCACAAACCATCATTTTCATGCACATTTTTAATGTAAAGCTGCAAAGTACGTGCATTTGTTGCAAGTAATTTTACTAATATAAAGGGTTTTCTACAGTATTTGACGTCATGTTTTTGTGTACACTGTTTTCCAGTAAATACAGTTTTAATTTTTGACTGAAGACTGTATAATTGGAAAGATCACATATTGAAATATAAATGGATTTTTGTTTACATATCAATTTAGCAAGTTAGGAAAGTTTACCTTAAACACACAAACTGAATGAATTTCTCCTTAATCTTACTACAAAGTAGCCATCTATTTTTTCAATGTTATCACTAATAATTGGAAACATAATTGCTGTGGCTGCAGAAATGATATCTATGGCTTAATTCACACCAAGGTTTCTTTATGCAATCTAATATATTAGAAAGAAAGCATGGAGACAATGTGCAGGCAATATTTAAATCAATGTATTAGCAATAGCAACACGTAATGATTTATATTACAAATAGTCCTCAGGTTATAACCACTCATTCACCAATGGCTCAAAATTATGACAGTGCTGTACAAGGGGAACTTATGACCGATCCTTGAAGTTCCAGCCATCACAGCATCTCCTGCAGTCACGTAATCGCAATCCAGGCACTTGGTACCCAGCTTGCGATGACGTTGCACCAAGCCATGGTCAGGTGATCACTGTTTCTGACATCCCCTGCTGGCTTCCCACAAGCAAAGTCAATGGGGAAGCTGGTAGGAAGTCAGAAGTTGCTCCAGCTCCCACTGCTTTTTCACCTGCCCACATTCTGTAGTGCCCGCCCACTGCACTCCCCATAACACCTGCCTGTACTCTGTAGCGCCTGCCCACGGCACCCACCTGCTTGCCTGGAACTCCCACCTCTTTCCACTTAATGGCCCACATTGTCCTGGGCTTATTACAGCAACCAGGACTGCCGTTGCTAAGCGATGTGGTCATGTGACACCATACTTTATGACTGCATTGCTTAGCGATGGAAATTCTGGTCCCAATTGCTGCTGTAACTCAAGGACTACCTGTACCTCATAATCCTAAAATTGGAAAATCATAAGAGGTGTTTTAAGTATCCACATTTAATGGCTGGAGATTTCTAACTGGTATGGTGACATGCTACATTTATGAGAGCCAGATTCCCTCCCAAGTTAAAAGCTAGCTCCTAATCTTTTCATTGTTTTATTACTTTTCTTGTGTTTTTCATTTGATTAATTATGGGTCCAAAACCTAGAAGAGAAAATGGGACTCAACCCCTCCTCTCTGGAGCAACAGCAGCTTATCAAGCAAGCTGAAAAACAGCAGAAAGTCTGCAGGTGAATTTATTCCAAACCCACCAAAAGAAAGTAATAGAAAAGAAAGCTATGTGGACTTGCTTATCACTATGTGGACTTGCTTATCTTTTAGAATAACTAAATTTAGTTGTTCTACATTTATGCAGATAAAGGCTTCATTCTATATGTCCATTGGAACTTTCTGGAGCTGAATCAGAGATATACTGCTTAGAATCAAAAAGTGGCAGACTGAAAAAAAAAAAAACTAATGTGATAGATTCACATTAGACTCAGCCTGAAAATTCTAATACACAATGTGAAAGAGTGTTGAATGTTCAAGATGAAATGTTTGTCTACAGAATGTATTCATACAAATAATTTATAATTCCTAAACAACCTTTACAACACCAACCAAGGTCAGTCAATGGTAAATTATAAATAAATGTATGTGTAAGGATTGTTTTTATTGAAGCTGATACGGCCTCAAACTGAAGCTACTTGTCTGTGAGTCTGTATGCCGATTCTGTACAAAGACTTAGTCTTATTCTCAGATGTTTGAAAACTACACTACAGGATTACATTCTGCACTGAACTTGGTGAGTAGATTCTGGGAATGGAATGTAAAAAAGAGAATGAGTTTTTCAAATCTGCCTCAGCAAATCAGTTCAGAAGGGGAAGTTATTTAGTAAAGCCCATTTGATATCTAAACCAAAAGGGAAAACGCCTTTTTTTGTTTGTATCTTCAGTTTACTACTGGATTCTGGTATGAAATTTTTTGATCCAGAAGCTGTATAAATTTTACTATTTTGTTATCATCGGAACTAACAAAATAAGAGTCTTATTCAATGTTTTCTTTTTTCACATTTTCCAGAAGGAGATGAGACATCTTTGACATCTTTGCTTTGGAAGCAATTCTTACTTGGTATTTTCATTCTATATAATTATTGGGATAGACTGAAAATACAGAGGATCTGATGTCCTAATAACAATAATCTTTTATTTTTTTCTATTTCTTTTTTTAGGTTTGTTTTGTATTTTTTTAAGGAAGTCTTTATCGCTTTTATTTTCACTTTTATTTGTGTGTGTGTGATTTCAGTTTGCTGAAATGAAAATTCTTTTTTTCAACAAAATACTGAAAATTAGTTTTTTACGAGCAGTTTTTTCAGACATCATTTTTAGTTGCCTTCTTCCAAGAAGAAACAATATTTACTAAACTGGCAGCTTAAACCTGAATTTGTATCTTTGGCAAGAAACTCATTTCTTTTTACACAATATCATGGCAGGGGCAAGTATCTTAAAGAATATAACATATACTTCTAATGAACTTAAGATGAACTTTAGTCAACAAAATATATTTACTGGGCGCCTCAGAGAATGTCTGAGGCTATCAACTTCATTATGCTGTAAGAGGAAAATGATGGACATGTGTATGGGACTGCTTCACTATCATCCCATTTTGGTTTCATATTCATAGGTTTGTTAATATGGTTTTGGGAAGAGTAAAATGTCTTAAAGATGTGAAAGTGATTTTGAATGATGCAGTATTTTTTAAAGTTTTTTGTCTTCTAATATGTTGTCTTTTTTGTATTGTTTTGTTCTGTATACTAAAGCAATAAAAATTCGCACACACACACAAACTTAAAGGAAAATAAACCCACGGACAAACATAAATAGGACATTTAGAAACAATTCCGAATTACAGATTTGACTTTCAAGCACTCTGATATATTTAATACTGGAAAAGTTACATCTGCCAAAAATCTCTAACTCAAAGAATGCATCATCTTAATACATTTTTAAAATATACGTTTCATATCTGAGACACATACATCTACACATACACACACACACATTTTATGGCACATACTTTGAATGTTACCTATCTATTCCTTTTATTTTTTTACTTACTAAAAAACTATTCTACTTTCATTCACTTTGAAACAGCATGCAGTGTTACCTCAACAATACTAATCATATGAGGAAGTAAACGGTCCATTCTAACTTCCAGCAGCATTACCAGAGCCCGACAGACATTTTTACGTACTTCAGGCTCCTCGTCCCCAGCCAATGCAAACAGATTCTGTTGAAGGGGAACAAAAGAAAAACAAGAAAAACTCAAGTATTAGATAGATAGATAGATAGACAGACAGACAGACAGACAGACAGACAGACAGACAGACAGCTATAAATAAAAATTCACATTACCAACTTTATTTTAGTAGTCTATATTATTTGGAAGCAAAAAACGATGGACGTAAGAGTTTGATTTCTAGATCTCACTGTTCTAGAAACAGAATGTCACCTTTAATTCAACAATGCAGATATTTTTATTCCATTATAAACACAACAGAAGCTAAACCACAGATAAGGCTTTCTCAGCTCAGATACTTTTAGTAGATGAGCAGAACTGTATTAATTTATACAAGAAGTTCTGTCTCTTCTAATGCTCAACACCATTCAGATCAGCTAACTACAAACAAAACTGGTTGTTCTGTATTACCTACACATTTATTTACAAGCAAACAGCTACACCAATTAATCCTGCCAGGGCAGAGAATAGACAATTTAACTGCAGGCAAAGAGATGTTACCTTTATTGCCCTTACCCACCAGATCCCAGCATAGCTGGAAGACAGAGAAATGGATACTACTTAAGCTGCTTTTTTGGCCAAACATTAATATAAAGCCAGAAGATTTGGGCCCTAGAATTGTCTGAAAAACAACAGCTTAACTCAATTATTAACTCAGAGAAAATTCTGGATTTTTATGGTTACTGGCTCAGTTTTTAAAGTAGCTTCTTTGTAACTGTTTCAACACTTTATCGAGAAAAAAAGAGATATTACTGTCTGCTTGTTCTCTCTTCAAAGCCAAACAGGACCATTTTGAAGCAATGGAAACTTCCATTTAGAAAAAGAGGAACACATCATAATTATCCACAATAGGTACAGTCGAATATGAGTCACCCACCTCAATAAATCCATCAATGTGCAGCATAAGGGCTTGAGTCCTACTGATGATAAACTGATTGACACAAGCAACTGCATGGGACCTATAAAACGTAATTTAAAAAAAAACCTGTACACATCAATAACTGTAAAAAGTCAAAGGAATAAATTTGTCACTTCTTAGAATTAAACCAAACATCAATCTGTTTGCAAAAGGAAAAAATACCTTGCTATTTAATGCTATGAATAAAGCATGTGTGTATATTGCACATCTGGAGCAGTTTCAGAAATGTCAAAAATATTCTGTATCAGTTACACTAGTTTTATAGTCATACTGTTGTTAAGAGAGCACCTCAAGGATATTAAACTTACTTAGTAGGAGCACAAACTCTGGTTGAATACCTTCTTTTTTGTCAAGTATTTATTGATTTCTAAGGGACAGTAAAATGGTGAGTGCTGTCATCTAAAGTTCAAGAAGCTACCAACTGATAATATCCAGAACACAAAGTTTAGTCACCTGTCAGGTAAATGTCTCAATATCACATGCCAAAAGAACAACTTGTGGCACATGAACTAAGACAATAATGGAATAACTTTTCCAATTCAGAAAAAACATTTACAGTTAATAGTCAGTTCTAGTCAATAGAAAGGGACTTTTTCACAATGTTTAGAGATCTGAGGAAGCAAAGAATGATGTTCAAAGCCCAAAACCTGGATAAAAATAACAAAGAATATCCAAAGAAAATATCTCTGCTATGCGAAATTCATGGGTTACCAGTGGGTTTTTGAGTGCAATTCAAGGTGCTGACTGCTGTCTATAAATCTCTGCATGGCACAGGTCATGGATATTTGAAGGATCATCTGTCTCCAATTGTCTCTGCCCATCTGGCAAGATCCAACAAGGTAGGCATGCTTCAGGTCCCATCTATTACAAAATGTCATCTTATGGAACCCAGGAACATGCCTTCTCTGTTATGGAGCCTACCTTCTGGAATAGCACTTTCCCCCAAGGTTTGCACACCCCTATCCCTGTCTGTATTCAAAAGAGCCTTTAAGACCCTGCTCTTGTCAGCCCACTATTTAGTTTGAGTTGTGGTTTCCCCCTCCCTGCCTGACCATTTCTATTTGTGCTTTAAATGATTCATATCACTGTTTTCAACCTTTGTAAGCCACCCAGAGTTGTATACAAGTGGATGGTCGCAGAAAACGAACAAATGAATGAATGAATGAATGAATGAATGAATGAATGAATGAATGAATGAATGAATGAATTTCAACAG